ATCATTTACTCAAGATAAATTAAACTTTCATTATATGATGATATTTTGGGGTTTCATTGTTGGCTTTACTTCCTTTAGAGCACCATCTGTTCCTTTAAAATCTGTTTTCTTCTTTTGCTACTGTAAACTCAGTCACGTATTATATGAAAAATACATGTTGGATTTTCACTGGTATTTTCTGATGTAAACAACCATAATTCTGGAGCCTACAAAGATTTACAATTTAGTAACACACTGTCCTTCATATGACACAATGGACTTTCAATCTGTTCTGTCAACATCTATACTATAGACACACATATATAAATGCACATATTTTGTATTTATAAAGCACCTTCCATGTGATGATTTCAAGGCTTTCTACAACCATTACACAAAGATGCTCATAAAATAAGACATCTTTATGAGAGCTGTTTGCAAGTTAAAAAATGGAGAAAGTTAATTATCAGTTGACTTACCTGTCATCACTCAGCAAATTTCCTGAACTCATATCTATTGCCTTCCCTACTTAACTATGTACCCAATATTTAAACACAGGATCCATTCTGATAAGCCATCAGTAAAGGATGAGTGGTTTACTAATTATGAGTATTTAGCCAGATGGTATTGAGTACTTTGCAGAGTACCAAGGTATAAGATAACTAAAGCTGGTTGAAAAAAAATCTCCACAGCTCATGGCTCATGAAAGTTTATACATCTCTGATTCAGTTACTCTATAAGATATATCTCTACCTTGTCTTCTATAGTCAACATGTACATTTAAAACATCTATGAGTAGTGATTCATAATAAGGCACCAAGCACTGTAACACAGAGCAAGCAAGAAGAAGCATGAATATGCTCCTTCTTGCTAAGCCTCTTTGAGGCTTAGAAATTACATTCCAATTGGAGTGGGGACAGCTGGATTCTGGTTTCCATTCCCAGGGTTATTTCTGTTTTTTAGTCAATAACTCACTAATGTAAACTATGTAAGGAACTCTAGGAGTAAGGACCAGAATCTAGGTCTTCTTCTTTGCAAAGGAGTGCTATAAGCATTAAGGCACTACTTATATCCTTTAGGCATGTCCAGATGAGTGTGCATGTGCCTCTTGGAGCATCTCAAACCCTTTTGAAATGCTGCACGAGGAGCATGCAGGAACAAAAAAAATGCTCCCTGCACTGCAAATTTGCAGCATGGGAGCAAAATTAGACCCCTGGATACTCAGGGGTCAAAAAATACCCTGAGGGGGAAAAGCGAGAGCATCCTGAAACAACCAGATGTGTGATCCTCCACAGAGATGCTCTGGTAGCCAGCCAGAGCATCTCTAAGGCTGGCCCTTGCCCCAGTGCTGAAGAACCCTCCCTGCCCATGAAGGGCAGGCAGCAGTGCAGGTTGCAGGGACCTGGACCTGGCTTCATGACAGGTAAGTAGGGGGTTGGGAGGCTGAAGGAGGTAGGGAGGGAACCATGGGGGGGCCCACCCAGCCCCAGCCCCCACCCCGGTCCCCGTTTATTGGAGCTAGGTGGGGGAGCAGGCAGGGGAGCAATGGGGGGGGCAGGAGCCAAGAGTGGGAGTGATCAGGAGGCTAGATTTTTTTGTTGGTTGGACAAGTAAGGAAGAAAAGGTAGGAGTGACATGGGGGGGGGTCAAAGTTTCAAAATATGAAAACAAGTTATCCAGAGGGGACACCAAGCAGAGCCCCCCAGGCTACACCCACATGTCCTCAAAGGCATCCAAGGAGCCGGTGGATGCCACTCACTGGTGCTCTGCCCAGAAACATGCATGGACAAGTGAGAGAAAAGCAGCCCCACAGTCTTAGGGCACCTTCCTGGTCAGAGCCTCCTTCCTGGTCAAATACAGGGCTCACTTGGCCAGGGCCAGGAGGAGGTTGACTAGGAGGTCCCAGGACTTGGTGGAGCTGCAGATGGGGTGACCAAAAACAAAAAGTTGGAAAGTGAAGTTCAACCGGAACCTCAGGAGGAGGTTCTGGAGGTGGAGGTGGAGGGGCTGCAGCCTGGGACACTCGAGGGTCATGTGCGCCAGGGTTTCCCTCTGCCCACAGAAAAGGCAAGAGACAGGGGTGTCCATGAAGCTTGCCACATACATGCCTGTGGCAATGGCTCCATGAAGGAGCTGCCATCTGAGGTCCCCAGTGGCTTGTGGGATGAGGGTGGAGTACAAACTCAGCCACTGGGGTGCAGCAGGCACACCCTTGCCAAGCAGGTCCTGCCACTTGGTGTCTGGGCAGGATGTGAGAGCGGCATGATGGACTGTGGGGCGCATGAGCATGTAGACGGTGGTGGTGAAGGATGGTAGAAAAGCGGACCAGTTTGGTGTCCTCCAACTGGCTCAGGTGGTGAAGAGGGGAGTGCCATGAGGCTGGATGAGGTGCCAGCCCCAGCCCCATGCCATATTCCAGTGGGATGAAGGATATGGTGGGGTGGGGACTGCCACTGTGCAGGACCTGGTCAGCAAAGGCAAGGGCAGTCAGGAGGTAGGGCAGATTTTACCTCCTGGACCAGATGGCAGGTTGCACATGTCGTGGGTAGACCCATGTGCTGGGCCAGTGCAGCGGGGTCCATCCACTCCTGCCTATCATAGTCTAGGTCTCCAATCTGGGTGACACCAGTCAGGATCAACTCCTGTTGCAACTGGGGTGCCTCTGCTGTTGGCAGCTCTGGCTGAGGGTTCCAGAGGAGGGTTTAGGGCAAGTAGCCCTGAGTAACTGGCCAGGGCAGGTTTTTATACTGCTGAGGCCAGCACAGGGACTGGCCCCAGGCTCTAGCTCCCCCTGGCTACAGATTTGGGATAAGACAGGCAGGATTATTTTGCCAGAAGTGGCAAAATGTGCTTCACAACAAATTGCATATTCGGGCAAGTGTGTGGAGGCAAAAAACCCCGGCTCAAATTTGCACCGCTTCTATTTGAGCTGCTGCAAGTGAACATGCTTGCATGTATGGATGTTCCCTGTGATTCTTGTATTCCTGGCTGTGCACTAGCCCAGCTTCTCCAGCAGGAGCCTGATAATTTCCTTGGTAGTGGGAGGTATGTGTCTGCATGCCTTCTGGGTGATGAGGGCCTGGGATCTTATGTCTCCAACTTCCTGTGTTTGTGCCGCAGGCATGAAGTTATTGAACAAAAGTGATTGGCAGCACCACTATTACCACCATTTCTTATATTGAAGTGTGAGATAGTCACCTTCTGAACATCTGTAACAGTACCTCTCCAGGGACTTAATGGAGTTTAGAGGCTTCCAAATACCAGCATGAATTGCAACAGAGCTTAGGTAATACTTAGGTGTGTAATGGTTTATCATTTCTGACAATATATAAAAAACTTCTGAAGATAGAAGGCACTATTTATTTGACTAAAACAAGTGTTTAGTCAAAAAAGCAATTTTTCTCTGAGAAAAGTCATTATTTTCCACCAACCCTAGGAATGATGTTTGCCAAATGGAGGCCAATAGTCAATAAATACTGGAATAATTAGAAAACATATACAAAAAAAGAAAAATAAGTTAATTTTACTTCTTTAATGTTATAACTTTAATTTTATTTCTTGACTATTTATAAAGAATGCCAGAATATTTTTTGCAACTTTCTAATACTAGAAACTTCAGGTCTTGTCTACCCTGTTTTGTTTTAAAATTACTAAAGAACAAAGCAGTTATAAATTCACAAGTGAATAGACAATGAAATCTAAGGAACATAAGAGAAGAAGGGATTTTAGAATGTTTAAAACACTTTGGATTCTTTATTATTTTCACCAATCTTTGCCCAAAGATCTAACCATCCTACCTGAATCTCTCCACAGGCTTCCTTTTCACCATATCACAAGCAAGTTCTTATCATTTTCTTCTTATCTCACTTACGTTATTCCTCAATTTCCTCTGCTCTGCCAGAAATTTCAGTCTCGATGCTTCATTTTCTTATGCAGTGTCTATGTAGGAACTCTGAATACTTTCAAACTAATGGGTTTAAGTCCCCTGATCAAGAATTAAATATTGTAGTCACTCTGGTTGCATCTACACATGCAATTAATTTGAAGCAATAAACTCTGAAGCAGTTTGAGCTAAAGTAAACTGCTCACAGGTGTAGCATCTATAGGTGCAGCCAGAGCAGCAGCAATTTGACAAGGCAGAGCAGTTTATGCCAGGGCCACTCAGCCCCGGGCTCTGAGTGGTGGCAGAAGGTGAATGAGGGGTTGGCTGGGGCACAAGGATGCTGAAAGTATGGAACTATGTGGCTAGATTGCAGGCAGAAGTCTGGCCCCTGGCTGTCTGTGTTGACCAGGTGCAATTTATGCCCATGGTCAGTATCTACATGTGCATTTAATTGTAGTAAATTACCCCAGCATATAATAGTATTGCTCCGGACAGTACAATTTTACTGTGGTGTTAATTAGTTTACCAAGGCTGAATAACATTGCATGTGTAGATGGTGATGCTTTACTCTGCACCTAATTAGTCTACCCCACAATTAAGCACATGTCAAACTAGACTTCTGAATCAAATTGCTGATGAAATTGGGTTGGTGGTGGGGTTGGAATCTACACTTAACTTTGAATCTGAATTGTAAGGCTTAGATCTTTGTCTAAATTATGTTGGTAAAAAATAAATAAAACTCTGAACTGTTTCACCTACATTTTGGCATCATCCAATAGTTGGCATGTAATCAAATTGTACATTAGCACTATTTAATGCCTGAGCCTTCACAGTGCTCACTGCTCTTTAACTCATATTGAAACTAATAGGTTCAAGGGAAGTTGAGGGTTCTTGGTCCCTCACAAGAATTCTCCCTTATGTAGGTACTACTAATAGATAATAATTTGTTTCTATCAATAAATCATAAAATCCATTTTTGTGTGACATTCTAGTTTTACTATATGGCAGCTAGAAAATATTTTACTATTAAAATGCCTCTTTACAATATAAATATTTAAAATAAATGTACATAAATTTAACATTGATTTTAAATGTAAAATGAAAACGTACATCAGTTCTAGGATAATTGCACTTAACTTCAGAGAAATTATCATTGTGAATGCAAATTTCAAAATTTATAGTAATAGAATACATTAAGCCAATCATTTATATAGCATAGTACATTTTTAGATACACCAGAACCTTTATTTGTTGAACAGCTTCTAGAAAATATGGAAAAGATAATACAAAATGTAGCTGTTCACTGTGAATATGCATAGCATTCAATGGAAACGTGGATATATATAGTTCGTTCCATTTTGTTTCTAAATGGAGTGGAGAAAAAATGCTGCCTACCTTTGTCTCAATTTGTTTGGTGTCTAGATTCTGAAAAAGTAGCTTTACTTTTGTTTTTCCATCATCTGAAGAGCCCTTGAGCTGAGAGAATTTAAACCTCCAAAGTACATTCTGTAAGGAAAAAAAAACTATTAATTGGACTCATTAATGTTACCCTCTCATATTCAAAACTATAGTTATTGTGTATATCATACATAAAGAAATTAAACAAAATGATTAATATATTTTGGGCAATACAATGACTGCATAAATAATCAGAATTAACAGCTCTGGAAATAGAAGCAAAAAGGTAGAGGTTTATTACTTTTCTTATCAGTGTTAAGCAATCACCTGCAAACATTCTAACATTATACATTTGTCAGCTGGCTACCCATATATGGTATAGAGGGATCAGGATAAAATCCTGACTGTACTGAAGTCAATGGAAATGTTGCTATGGATTTCAATAGAGCCAAAATTTCAAATCAGATTGTAATATTTCATACCCTGGTTGGCTCACCTATCTGATGAGGGTAATAATACTGCCCTACCTCACACAGATGCTGCAGAGCTTAATTCATTCATGTTTGTAAAGTGGTATGTAATCCTCAGATGAAAAGTGCTATATAATTAAAAATTATTTTAAAAAATATTATAAAATACTAACTAACGAATTGCAGTTAAAGTATTCAATGCAGTGCATTATACAGTTATTTATAAGACCAAAACTAAGAATCCCAAGGCCTGTATCAACCAAAGTTCTCTCTTATGGCTATGCCTGGTGCTGTGCTACCAAATGAGGCACAAGTTTGATTGAGATAATTTTTACAATGATGAAGAAAGATGTTTAAAAGCAATCTTGGGAAATTATTTTAAAAGTACTTTAATTTTCTGTTCATTGCTTTTCAGGTTAGGCACAAAAAGATATGACTCATATAGAGCCCAGCTTTTCTTCTGATGTTTTGTTAACCTTCAATGATATTCCAGAAATTCCAAACACAAACAGAGGTCAAGCAAGATCCCTGAGCACTTTTGAGGAAAAATTAATCATTCACTGCTGAAAACTTTGAAAGCTACTTCAGAATGAAAAATGGCAGAAGAATAATTCACAACGGTTTGTTTGCATCTTGTTTTTTGTTTTCTTTTTAAGTCTGGGATCTTAAAATAAAGAAAATCCCATTTAAAAAGATGCAGTCAGTCTCACTTTGGATATTTTTTGTAGATAATACTGATTGAATGTTGATTGAAATGATTGTTATGTGAATCAAATCAATTTTTAGAGAGAAGAAACGTCAAGCCCTTTGTAGTTGACTTTAGAGTATTTTAACTTACTGAGAAGATGAATGTACTGGGGAAGTTTTGAACTACTGTATGCAAATCAAAGGATGCAAATCAAACTAAAATCAACAAGGGAGATATTGGCTTATTTTCTATTTAGATCATTCATTGTTTTAGAGGAGAGCAAGATCCTTTCCTCTCTCAAATTACAAATTAAACATACGATCACTGCAGACAAGTTTCTTTGAGAAGTGTGAGAAGGGTGTACCCACATCTCCACCACCCCCACAATAAATACACCCCACAACAGAACGATCACCATTCCTGGATCTTACACCTGCACCTCCAGAAATGTAATATATCCCACCCAGTGCACTGAATGCCTGCATGGAAAATAAGTAGAAGAAACCAAACAACTGCATACCAGAATGAATGCACACCAAAAATCCATCAAAGACAAAAATACCCAATTACCTGTGGGTGCACACTTCTCACAAGACAGCCACTCTTGCTCCAGTCTTTCAGTCCTAATCCTCAAAGGGAATTTACAAAACACCTTTCATAGACAATTCTATGAACTTCATTTCATAACTCTACTGGATACAAAAAAAATCGTGGACTAAATATAGACATTGGATTTATGCACATTATAACCTGTCTGCCATCTGATAACCCCAGGTAACTTGTCTGCATTTTACGAGCTACATTCTTCTATCACCAGTTAAACATTCCCCCTCCCACCTCCTTCCTCTCTCAAAGCTATTGTTTTCCATCCCTCTGATCTTCACTGCCGTGCATTTGCATTTTCACAGATTTGCATTTTTCATTTTGGCTTCTGTTCTACCCAGGAGAGCACACAGTTCACCAGTAGACTCTTTACCCAGGGCAGCACACAATTCACCAGGATGCCTGTGTCCAAAAGCTTGCAAAGGACAATTTTTCTAACAACTTAGTTGGTCTAATAAAAGATACCACATTTACCCTAAGAGCCTTGTCTGCTTATGTCCTTAAACCAACACGGCTACAACCAACAACCCTAAAACATGATCACTGATATATTTGCATCCCTTGATGATGATGATGATTAATAAACATTTATCTGATGGTAATATTTATCTGATTAAATTCTATTGTTCTGGGGACTGAAGAAACATACTCTCTTGAAGAGGGGTATGCAACAATTAAACCCAATGAAGAACTGCACAGCATTGTTACATGAAGGTATGGTTCTTTTTCTTAACTGGAAGAGGTGAGAAGGAAGCAGCAGAAAAATGAAAGAGTTGGAGAAAGACTAAGTGTCAATTTGGATGAATGATAAATAAATGCAATACCTCACTTAAGGAGGGAGCGTGGTGGGCAGGAGAACCTGGTGGTCCAGAACACTTCGGATGGTTTCTACTCACGTTTTGATGATGTGCAGGAAAGTGGATGAATACTATTGCTGTTCTGCCAAAAATGTTGAGAGAAGGTTAGAAAAGCCTTGTTGCACCTCTTTTACCTTTGTAGCCATGAGCTCAGGTGAGCCAGCCCCAAGCTGTATACCAGATCTCCTAACACAACAGATGAAGTGTCAATTTTATTAAAGTATTGAGGTAAGTGAGCTCACAAAGATAAACAAAATATATGTTAAAGGAGATGAGCAAACTGGGTGCACCTGGAAGGCCAGAAAGACTTAACTGAGTATCACACCCAGTTGAGAAGTGATGGGTTATTTATTATAAGAGAGTTATTTAGTAAGGAGGAAAGACCAAATCAGTAAGGTCTTGGAAATGTAGAGAATAAATCAATGTAGTCAATGTTTCCCTCAGTGGTAGACCCCCCCAAAGAAAAGGACAAGGACTGTAGGGAAGAGCTGAAGGAAACTGGAGGAAGAACATACACTGAGAGATCTCTTGTTGGCACAGAAGTCCTGCTGGAGGCAGAGGATAGGGAGGAAGATCCTAGAAGAGACATAACATCCCCTATAGTGGACAGAGAATTGTTAGGGACTTCAGGAGGCAATGTTCTCTCAGGCTAGGTACAGACATCCAAAAAGCCCAAGGTAGAATCAGTCTGAGTTACGTGGTTTTCTGTATGTGGTGAGGTTTAGATCGGTAATGAACAGAACACACATTCGCCATCTGGTGTTTTGAGACATAGATTTGATGAGTCTTCAAAATATGTTCCTACATGTTCACTGCTGATTTGCAGGGAAGGTTTTGTTCTTTAGAATAAATAATTTTGTATGGTTCTTAAAACCTGCATATTCATTCTTTAACTGTTACCAAATTTCCTGCAAAACTGATGCTAGGGTTCTACTATTTTACATGGGTGCATTTGGAACATTTTAAAGGTCTGGAAATAAAACATATGGCTGAGATTAAATTTCACTTATAGGCAGGAAAAGTAGCACAGTTACAAAAAAAATCATGCCTATGCATTTAACAACTGTTGGATAAAATGAAGTACCAGTAATGGGGTAGCTCCTTCCCCATTAGGGATTTGAGCAGGAGCCAGAATCCAAGGCTGTCTCCCTTCCAAGGCAGCATCCATTTCATTAAGTCAGATTCCCTTAGACTTGTTCTTTTCCTGGCCCCATGTATCTTCTACTAGTGGATAATACGTGGGCTTGCTTCAACACAACAGATGGAGACTGCTGTCAGCAATACCTCATCATAGCCTGGTGGTTAGTGCACTGTCCAGGCAATGAATTATATAGTTTTAAATCCCTCTGGGTGATGGAGACCTAGAACCTGGGTCCACAGTTCGCTAGGCAAATGCTTTAACTGCTATTGGGTTAAAAAGTGACAGGATCCCACTGTTCTTCTTTCTCCTCTAGTACCAAATAGTCACTGATCATGTTTTTTCATTTGACTAAGATTTTGGGGACTTATGCAGAGTTTATACATCTACTTCGGTAGACTTGGGTAGTAATAGAGTGTAAGTGGCTGAAGCAGGTCTTTCTGAGCATGTTCAGAAGGGCAAGGCAAATTGTGTGTAAATGGGGGGCAAGATAGAAAAGGTAGGCAAAATGCCACTTAGCCAAAATAAGTATAACATGGGTTATACTTGCTCACCTAAAAAGGAGTTCAACACAGGCCACAGTAATAAGTGTAAGTGGTAAAACTGTTACTTTGCTCAGTCCCCACCTCCCTGCTTAAATTAGGCTGGAGATGGCCCAAACAATGAAGCCTCACTTTATTTGGAACCTTTGGCACCAGTGCAATACAAATAATAACAATAATAAGTTTGGCAGAGGCATTAATAGTCATTCAGAAAGTTTTAAAACAGCCATGTGAATTAGCGGCACACAACAAACAAAGGGCATTTATACACATACCGTTTCATCCCATGACACACTGGAGATCTGGTGGTTCAAAGCACACTCAATTAATCGAGTCTGCTCTACACACGAGCTGACACGCACTGCACTGCTTCCCGTGCAGTTGTATAAATGGTGAAATTAGTGGTGATACGTAAGGGGTGCACAGGGGTGCACATGCACCCCCTGAGAGCACTGGTGCACCCCCTGACAGCCAGCATTCCCTGCTTAGGTGGGGCAGGCAGAAGCACTGGTGCCCCGCCTGAAAGTGCCATCTAGGGAGTGGGGGCACCAGGAGAAGCACCACTTTTTGTCAAAATTATAAGGAAACCACCAAAGCTTTGCTTCCCACATGTTATGATGAATGATGGGATGTCTAAATACCTCTCTGTATTATGAAAAAGTAGTAATAAGGCCTTACCTATAATAAGTAGTTCTGAAATCTGACATGAAGCATACCAGCAGTTCATTGTCAAGTTTATAAAGCAGTTGTATCACTTTAGCCAAAAAGCTGCATGAATATCTCTGTGATGCATAAATACACCATAAAAAA